CACCACTGGTGCTCCGGGCTGTGGGTCCCTCTTCCTATTTGAGAGTTCACTGGCTCAGCACCCCAAACCCACACAAGGAAGCGACTCCAACTGGACATGTTTTCAGTCTCCAGTGGACAGAGCAAGGACAGAGGAGACAGGCCATGGGAGGAAGCTGGTTTGACACAGAGAAGAAACTTCCCTGTGCTGAGGCGGCGGTGGCTGCCCTGGGTACTTTTCCAGTGACTGTCAGAGGTCTTGAGCCCAGAGACTTTCTGCCGACAAGGGGCTTTCCAGCCAGTTCCTCCACTGGCTCCCACAGGAAATGCTCTGTCACCAGGGCAACACAGCAAACAGCACTTCCTGACGCAGGATCCAGGGGCTCCTGGGGAAGCCACAGCGTCCCCCAAAAACTACCCGATAAGTAAAAGTTTCCAGAAAAGCTGGCCGCACGGGAAGGAAAGGTGGACTAAGTCAGCCTGAAAACTCCCTGCGATGCACTGTCTGCTTCTCAGGCAGCCTCCCTGCCACCACGCACTCCTCTCCCTGGGATCACGCAGCCAGATGCCGAGACAGAGGTTGATGCTAGCATGGGGGTGGGGACAAGCAGCTTCAACCATGTCTGAAGAAGCAAGATGTCCTCTTCACAGGCAGCAGCAGAGACACATGCCCCAACTGAGTGGGTGACACATGAGTTTGTGTGCACTCTGCTAACCATGGGTGCCGACCACGAACCCTGACCACAAACGCAGACCACAAACTCAGACCACAGGCACCGCACTGGGCCTCACACTGATATAGACTGGCAGTGACATTACACAGGCACCGATGCTGACACTGATACATACCGATGCTGACAATGACACCCACGGCCACACTGATACTGACACTGGATATGATGCCGATATGACTGACACTGTCACTGATACTGACTCTGACACTGACTGACTGACACTGACTCTGACTCTGACACTGACCGACTCTGACACTGACTGACTCTGACACTGTCACTGACACTGATATTGACTCTGACACTGACTGACTGACACTGACGCTGACTCTGACACTGACCGACTCTGACACTGACTGACTCTGACACTGTCACTGACACTGATATTGACTCTGACACTAACTGACTGACACTGACTCTGACTCTGACACTGACCGACTCTGACACTGACTGACTCTGACACTGTCACTGACACTGACTCTAACACCACCCACACTGTCACTGACACTGATAATGACTGACACTGACTGACTCTGACACTGACTCTGGCACTGGCTGACACTAACTGACACTGATATTCATACTGATATTGTCTCTGACACTGACTGACACTGACTCTGACTCTGACACTGACCGACTCTGACACTGACTCTGACACTGTCACTGACACTGACTCTAACACCACTGACACTGTCACTAATACTGACTCTAACACCAACTGACACTGTCACTGACACTGATACTGACTCTGATACTGCCTGACTGACACTGTCACTGACACTGACTCTAACACCAACAGACTCTGTCACTGGCACTGATAATGACTGACACCGACTGACTCTGACACTGACTGGCACTGGCTGACACTGACTGACACTGATATTCACACTGATACTGACTGATACTGATTCTGATTGACACTCACTCTGACTCTGACACTGACTGACTCTGACACTGACTGATTCTGACACTGACTGACACTGACTGACACTGACTCTGACTCTGACACTGACATTGACTGACTCTAACGCTTACTGATTCTGACACTGACTGATTCTGACACTGACTGACTCTGACACTGACTGACTCTGACTCTGACACTGACTCTGACATCATCACTGACACTGACACTGATATGATACTGGCACTGACTACTGTCTCTGATGCTGATCCTGAAGCAGTGTTGACTGGCTTACTGAACATTGGAGACCAAGTTGTCCTGGGGCCCAAGCTCAAGGACCTGACTCGGGACAGTGGGGACAGTGGCAAATGGTGATTATTAGTGGGTACTGAGACAGGAGAAAGTATGGGTAGAGACCGAGGAGGTTGGGTCTAGACAACCCCCCGAAGAAGAGAGATACACAAACTCCCACACACATACAACACACAAATGCACACAGACATGCGTGTACACGTGTTTTTGTACTCATGCCTTTGCACATGAGACACACCTGTGCACACACACATTCACACACATGCCGATGGAGCTGTGGGCGACCTGATCTCTGCTCAGACTTTCTGTTTTTGCGTCTGGGTCTCCGCCGACCTGATTGATGGAGCCCCATCGACCTCGATGACAAGAGGCCGCAGGGAGCTGGCGGTGGCTCTCTTGTTGCCCGTGAGCCACCCTCACCCGCATCAGCTCTTCCAGGATGGACATGACTTGTGCAGCCATGTTCGACATTTGGTCATTTTCCAAAGGGAGCACTGAGAGCTGTGTCATTGACCCCTCTGGCCACCGCTCCAGAACCCTGAGACCACCACAGCAACGTGGCATCTTCCACACGTGATCAGGAGACAGCTGGTGCTGGCCAGACTAGGAGGGAGGACCAGCGGGTCGGTGTATTGCAGGGCTGGGGAGCCCCCTCAGGGCTTCCGATTTGGAATACAAGATTTGCTTTCAATAAAATGACTTCATTAATGTAAACTCATCTATGAAATTTCCTCTGCATTGTTCAGGCAAATGACATCTTTAGTTCTAACGTTCCTTTACATCGGTCACTAACTACATCCCGCTCTCAAGCCAAAACCCACCGTCCACGGGCTGGGGCCGGGGCGCCCTCTGCTGGAGACTCCCGCGGCCAGCCAGGGCCCAGCCTTCCCTGGAGTCTGCGGCCTTGCGCTGTGAGCAGCCCTGTGACCCTGGAGTCCAGAGCAGTACCAAGGAACTGGCCTGTCCTGGGAACGAGGAGAGAACGAGATTCGAATCCAAACCCACCACACGCCCTCCCTGCCCAGTGTGGCCTCCTGCCTGCTGTCAGCCTTCCTCCCTCAGGAACCCTGAAACCAGGCCACTGGGCCTCCCCAACTGTAAGAGATTGTCCTCGGCTGTGTCGCTGTGATGTAGCGGCCCGGACCAAGAGGGGCAGGGGCGTTGGGAGCCGCACGCCTGGCCGCCCCCTCCCAGGAGCCTGTTCTACAGGATGGAGGAGCCGGCCCCTTGCAGGGCCACACACGAGTCGGACATGGGGCGGTGAGAGCAGCTGCTCGGTCCTGGCAGTGCAAGAAATCCAGTGCTGCCCTGCTCAGCTGTGGAGTGGCCATGGACTCGCCGCGGCTGGAGGGGCAGCAGGGCTGCAGGTCTGTGCCGGGCACGCCTGAAGGGACGAGCAGCTTCGGGGCTCAGAGGCCCCCAAACCACCAAGCTGCAGCCCACTGCAGCAAGACCAGACCCGAGGTGTTTGGGGACCACTCCCAATGACAGCTGGCCAGCCGGGCACAGTGGAGCGTGGGAAGCCCCCGCAGGACACAGCCCCAGAAGGGTTCGCAGCTGGGGCACAGAGGAGAGAGGTGGAGGAAGAGTCACAGAGCCGGGAGGCAGAGCTACTCCAGTAGCTGTTCCAGGGCAAGGGCCCCACAGAGCCACGCTGCTGCCCCCAGCAGACAGGGCAGCTCCGTAAGGCGAGTCACAGGCTGGGTGCTGGCTCCCTCTGCAGGTTCCTCAGTGCGCTGCCGGGAGCAGGTGCTGTGGGCAGTGGGCCACCAGGTTGCTCTAAGACTCCCCCCACGCTACGGCCACCAGGAGCATGTGTCTGGATCCCAGGACAGACCCACAACCTCACCTCTGCCGCCCGCATTCTCCTGCCAGGCTAGCCATGGGGACAGCCGCGTCCAAAGAAGGGTGGGGGGGAAGAACTTGCAAGAATGATTAGACATGCCTAAAAAACATGCACGGGTCTGGGAGCTGGAGGCAGAGTTCGGCAGGCGGGGGTTTGCCTGGCATGTGGCCAGCCTGGGCTTCACCTCAGCACCCCTGAGCGCTCCCAGGAGTAGTCTCTGGGCGCAGAGTCAGAAGCAAGCCCTGAGCACTGACCAGTGTGGCCCAGGCCCCAAATTTATTGAAAAGGTAAGTTTCAACAAATATCAGGGGACTGTTGTGAAGATGCTGTCTACTGACAACACAGACCATTACTAAACAACAGCATTTAAAATTCCACGAGGCTGGAGGCGATAGTACAGTGGGGAGGGCGTTTGCCTTGCATATGGCCAACCCGGGTTTGATCCCCAGCATCCTTTATGGTCCCCTGAGCACCGCCAGGAGTAATTCCTGAGTGCAGAGCCAGGAGCAACCCCTGAACATTGCCAGGTGTGACTCAAAAAAGACCAAAAAAATTCACACGAATTTAGAAAATAAAAACATGTCATTAAACCACTAGTCAGAGTTAATAATCTTAAAGGGTCTAGTTACAGAAAGGCCTGGAAGACGCAGTGTGTAGGTCTGATTTCAACTTCTTTACATCCAGAAGGAAATCATGGGGGCTGGAGCAATAGCACAGAGGGTAGGGCGTTTGCCTTACATGCGGTCAACCTGGGTTTGATTCCCAGCATCCCATATGGTCCCCTGAGCACCGCCAAGGGTAATTTTTGAGTGCAGAGCCAGGAGTGACCCTTGAGCATCGCCAGGTGTGACCCAAAAAGCAAAACAAAAAAACAGAAGAAAATCAACAAATAACATCACTGCAGAAAGTTTTATGTGATAGTTCACACATCTGACTAGCTGATTCAAAACCAAATGTCAGTCCACACCTTAAGAGTCGCACAAAAGAAAAATAACATCTTGGATGCATTTGGCTGTGGGGCCAATTTCAGTCACTTCATTAAGTCCCTGGGCCCTGGAACTCTAAAAGTCACTGCTGGAATTAACACTGTTCTGCCATCCATGGCTCAAAGGAGAGTTACCCTTTCTTTGCCTCTTGATGCCATCAACTTAACACAGACGTAGAAACATGCAACTCATTTATGGACTATACACAGAGACATTCGTAACCCATCCACCAAAAGTGGGGAGTACAGAACTGCACGGCCGGTGTGAATGTGCAGCGCAGAGGGAAACCCCCTTCCAGAAGGGGCAAAGCTGCTAATACAAAGACGTCTTCCTCATTATTCTCAAAAACTCTTCCTCGTTTATTTCTCCATCTCCATCACAATCCGCCTCGTCGAGCATTTCCTGTAAGACAGGACAGAGTGGCCAGATGCAGGCCCAGAACTGCGTTCCACCCCCGTGGCCAAGGGAGGAGGCCACGGCCACCGCGTGTGGGGCACACAGGAAACGGGGCGTGGGCGGGGCTACCTGCAGCTCCTCGTCCGACAGCTTCTCCCCCAGCTCCTTGGCCACCCTCTTGATGTCTGCCAGGGTGATGCTTCCCGTGCCGTCGTTGTCAAACAGCTTGAAAGCCTTCAGGATCTCTTCCTTCTCGTCCTTCTGACTCTGGGAAAACAAGCACGTGCTGTCACTGGGTCTCCACGTTCGATTCCTCCGGCATGAGTGCCAGGGAGCCCAGCCCACCCCTGAAGCCCAGCCCACCCCTCTGCTGACTCAGCGGACAGGAGGGAGGGCACGGGCATCCCCTGAGTCTGCGGCACACGAGGCTCTGCTCCTGCGGGGCGGCTGGTCTCCCCGCAGCCGTGCCCGCCCTGGGCATACTCCTCCCCAGCCCACTCCCCCGCCAGGCCACCGTGGCTGCCAGTCTGCCTACCACTTTCACACTCATGAGCGCGAGGAAGTCCTCAAAGCAGATGGTGCCACGCCCATCCTTGTCGACCTCAGCTACCAGGCTCTTGGCCTCGTCCTTCCTGGGCTCAAACCCTAAGGCCTGCATGGCAATCTGACACACACACATGGTCAGTGGCCAGGCCCTCCAGGAGGACCAGCTTGTTTCACTGCACACTGGGAGGGCCCAGACGCTGCCCCTCCCCCACTGTGCCACCCCAGGACTGGGGTTGGCACGCCCCTCCCTCACGCTGAGCATAGCTGCTCTCAGGGGCGAGGTGAGGGGCCCAGAACCTTCAGATCCTTGACATCAATGGCTCCAGACCCGTCCACATCAAATAGGTCAAAGGCCTCTCGGATTTCCTGCTTCTGGGATTGGCTCAGTTCAACTTTTGCTGCTTTTTGCTTCCACTGGTCGGAAGTCCGACGGAAGCTGGAGGCCTGAGAGAACCGCACTCAAGTGAGCATCGGGCGTGACCGGAGCGGTTCCCAGGCCCAGACAGGGAGAGCGGCACACACTTGGTGCAGGCCAGAACCCAGAGGGCTGATCCGCACCGCACTCGGTGTAGGAGAACCAGGAGGGCTGACCCACATTCGGTGTAGGACCAGAACCAGGAGGGCCAACCTGCACTCAATGAAGGACCAGAACTGGCAGGGCTGACCCACACTCTGTGGAGGACCAGAACCAGGAGGCCGACCCTCACTGGGTGGAGGACCAGAACTGGGAGGGCTGACCCACAGTCCTTGTAGGACCAGAACCGGGAAGGGCGACCCGCACTCAGTGTAGGACCAAACCAGGAGGGCTGGCCACACTTGGTGTCAGCCCCCCTCTCGTGAGGGCACCGGTCACTGGCTCCCCTAGGGCTCGCTATGGGTGTCTTTCTGAAAAGGCTGGTTCTTCGTCATGTGGGGCACAGTGGGAGCGATGATGCCTGGAGTCCAGCCAGTCCCAACGCACGGCGAGCAAACAGGCTGTGGTGGACAGACACAGCCGCCAGCAAGTGAGGTCTGCTGCGTCCGTCCACCTGGCCCAGCGTCTCTGCTCAAATGCCCAGACAGAGTCTCCAAGGATCTTCCCTGCAGCCCGGGGCTGAGGACAAGTCGACTTGCTCCAGGCCTCCGGGCAGCAGTGTGGGCGCAGGGTGGGCACTGTCCAGGAGGCAGGAGGAGGGTCACGTCGCATGGCTCTGGGCTCATGCCCGGTTGTTCCCAGCGAGGCTGGGCCGCAGCTCCCTGACTTCCACCCTTTGCGCATGCGGCTGTGAGCCCCCCAGAGTCCTCTGCCCCCAACCCCACAGGCAGCTCCTCCCCGTGCCGTCCACCCGCCGGGGACACCTCGTCGCTGTGCTCACCACAGACGGACTAAGGACCCCGTGGCTGGTGGCTCAGCGGCCAGAGGTGCCACCAAAGCGCTCCCTGGCCCACCGGGGACCCTTCGGCCCGGACCCACTCACCGAGTCCAGGGCCCCTCCCCGCCCACCCCCACCTCCCGCCTCCAGCCCCAGCCCACCCGCAGCCCGGCGCACCATGCCCAGCGGCCGTGGGTCCGCGGCTTCCACGCCGCCGGGCCGTCACTAAGGCCGCTATCCTCAGTCACCCCGTTGCTAAGGCCGCTCTAGGCGCTCCCGGCGCCTGGCCCTCCTGATGGACAGCCACGCTGAGCAATGGGAGCGAGGGGATTCCAGTGGCGCCCGCCCCCTCGCTCCTCGCGACCAATAGCGAGCTCACAGCCTCCTCGCCGGCGGGAAGGCGGGACTTCCGGGGTTGCCTAGCGACCGGGCCGGGCCGCTCGCACGCCGGCCGCGGCGCGGGGCAGCGGTCAGTGGCTCGCGCGAGGCTGGGCCTGAGCCGGCCGCGGCGGGTGGGGAGGGTCCGAGGGTCGTCGGGGGCCATCAGCGCCCCTGGAGCGGCAGGAGCCGCCGTCGGACCGCGGGCGCGGCTCTCACCCCTGCGCGAGGGCAGATGTGGGCCGAGACTGCAGGGACGCGTGTGCCAGCACCTGGGCCTGTGCAAGCACGTGTGTGAGTGTGCGTGTGTGTGCGTGCATGTGCGCGAGCGCCCGTGCTGTGTACGCGCGCCCGCGTAGGTGTGTGTGTGCGCGTGTCCATGCGTGTTGTACACGCGTGCGTGACCGTGCGTGCCTGGGTGTGCACGAATATGCATGCGTGCGCGTGAAAGTGCTTGCTTGTGCATGCCTGTGTGTGTGTGTTTGTGTGCATGCGTGAGTGTGGTGACTGTGGTAGATCTTCCTGGGCTAGGGGGGAGATTGGGGTCAGTAGTTTCACCGTTGGGGCGGGAAGGAGCCCCCTAATAGCTTTGCTGGCCGGTGCTTTCTCCGTGCGCCCTGGCCAAGAGCAGGCGTGAGGGTCCCAGCAGAGGAGGGTGACTGCTCTTCTGTGCCTGGGAGGGTCAAGGTGACACTGGCCAAGGGAGCTGTCCGGCTCCGGGCCGCGTCAGCACAACAGGAAAGGGAGTTGGCAGAGGACTTTCGGCTCCTTCATCCTCCTTCCACCGTCTTGGCCTTTGGGAGCGAGGGATTCTTATTTTGAGTTTTCTGTTTATGAATCATAGAGAACTGCCACACCCTTAGTTGTTGAGGAGCTCGAGTGTACTTAGGAAGGTTCATCGCAGACAGAGGGCTCTCGAATGGGCCAAAGTAAGGCGAGAGAGAGCTGGAAGGGTGCCCTTTGCGCACAGGGTGGGGAGCAGGCCTTCCGGAGGGCACAGGTCAGCCACTTTGGATAGGGGAGGAAGCGCTTCGGGCCTGCCCAGGCTGCTGGACGGGACGCCTCTCAGCAGGCCGTGTGCAGCTCCCTGTGTTTCCCTGCACTGGGCAGTGAGCAGTGATGGACGGATTCCAGCATGGCTGGTGTATCTGCAGGGGACGATAAAGCAGATGGTGAGTGGGCAAGGGGTGTGGATGGGTTGGGAGGCAGGTCAGAGGGCATTGGTGTAACTGCACTGGGGGATGCAGTGGACAGTGGGAATGTGCCAGCTGGACAGTCTCGAGATTGGTGAGCTGGGTCTGGAACCTCCTGGGCCTGAGGGATGTGCCTGAGGGGGTTGCAAGTCTTGCTTTCACTCCTTGGAGTGTGATATCTCTCAGGACAGGACTGCTTGTGAGTTCTGGAGCAGAGTCTCCTGGATCCCGGTTTCACTGGGTACCTCGCTGTTCTCTGCCCTGGGATCCACTCGGGCTTCACCGGCTCTCAGCTCCCAGGCCAAGGCGGCTTCCAGGAACTCATCGGCAGTGCTGAGGCCAGCGTAGAGGAGGAGCAGAAGTCTCGGTGCCGTTTGTGCCTTGGTACCTGGGATGCTGAGGCCGTGGTGAGATGCACTGCTCGAGTGTTGTGACCTTCCACAGTGACTGCGAACTTAGGGGCAGACGTAGCTGTTCTGCTGCGCCCCACACCCAGTGGCTGCTTTCACGGGGCTCCCTCTTCCTCACTCTTCTTCCTGCTGAGATGCTGTGGGGAAAGCTGCCTCCCAGCTACACCCAGTAGTAGCCCAGAGCACCCCGGAGCACCCTCTCTGCCTCCGGTCTGATCGCCCGTGTCATTTCTCTCTAACCCGCCTTTAGTCCCAGCGTGGCTGCACATGACCACATGCTCCCAGCACCCGGACCGGCACTGCCCCGCGGTGGCTCTCTTGACCGGACCTCTGCCGGCCAGCACTGCCCAGCTGTGGCCTCTCGGCACCTGCGGCTTCTGGACTCGAGTCTGGCCCCTGCCCCTGGCTCTGTCCACTAGCCTGCCCACCTTGCTCTTCCTTCCGACACCTATGCCTCTGCTGGAGGTGCTGCCTGTGGCTTTGGGCTGCCTGTCCCCTCCACGCAGGGATACACCTGGAGGCAGGAGTGCCCGGGGTTGTTCAGGGAGCACCGAGGGCCGGGCCTCAGGACTCGCAGATGACGGCACGCAGCCACAGGGGCGTCGTGGACCAGAGGCGGCACCGAGGACTTCAGGAACTTTCGTCACTGGCAGAAACAGGGCGAACGCTCCTGGGCCCAGTCAAAGCGTCCAAGTTCATCGTGGGCGAAGGGGGTCGTGAGAGCGAGCTGGTCCGGTCAGCGCGGAGGCTGCTGGGCGCTCTGGACCTCAGCAGTGCGGGGGGCCAGCTGCTGCGGGAGGCGGTCGAGGCACAGCACGGCACATACCACGCGGGCACCAGCACGCTCCTGCTCCTCGTGGGCGCCTGGAGTCGTGCGGCCCAGGAATGTCTGCAGCTGGGGGTGCCCAGCCCCGTGCTGGTGGCGGCCATGTCCGAGGGCCTGAGCTCTTGCCTCAGAGCGGTGGCCGCCCTCCAGGTGCCTCTGCGGGGACTGCCCACTCGGGGCACCGGCACTCTCGCGCGCTCGGCTCCCTGCACAGCTCCTGGCACCAGGGGCCCCTTTCTGCAGGACGAGAGCCCTGACTCGGGGCCTTCCCAGCAGCTGCAGACCACCGCTCGCCCTCCTGAGACACCTGTCGAGCCCCGTCCCACCTTCAGAGCCCGAGCGGCGGCCTGGGAGGGGCGTCTGCTCTCAGAGACCCGCCCACGGCAGTCGGCACTGACTCACAGCAGGCACTTTGCTCGGGCGCGGGGGCTTCCGGGAGAGCAGGACGCCATCGTCCCCCGGACACTCCCCCAGGAGGGCCTGCGTGAGGCAGCCTCAGTGTCCAGGGTGCCCTGCTGTGAGGGCCCGGCGGACCTGGCGGAGCTCGAGGCGGGCCTGAGTCACGGGGACCCGGGCAGCATGGAGCTGGTGGACGCGGTGGCACGCTGGCAGTGGCGCAGTGCCCGCACGCAGCCGGGCAGCAGCCCTGCCCCCTGCAGCCTGGACCTCTCCAAAGTATTCACCTGCTGCTTCCCAGGCTTTCCAGAATCTGCTTCCTGTGTCTGCCCAGGGTTCGTCATGGCCGTGCCCTTGTCCCACATGGCTCTGGTGGCGGCACTGCAAGCCCAGCCCATCCGGGTGGCTCTGCTGGAGGGGGACCTCAGCGCCAGTTACCGCCACCTGGGACTCCGTGGGCCGGTGTGGTCCGTGGTGGCCGGCATGGAGGACCCGCGGGCCAGCGCGGAGGAGCTGTGGCTGGAGCACGTCCTGCAGGTGCTGACCTCGTTCCGCGTGGACCTGGTGCTGGCCCAGGGGCGGGTGTGCCCGCGCCTGCGGGACCGCTGCCTGCACAGCGGCCGCCTGGCCCTTGGCTCTGTCAGTGGCCGTGCCCTGCAGGCCCTGGCCGAGGCTTCGGGGGCGGTGCCCCTGGCCTACGCCACGCAGCTGGAGGAGCGCTGTGTGGGCACGGGGCTGCGCGTGGCCGTCAGGGAAAGCCTTCCCTGGGAAGCCGCGGAGAGGACGGGCAGGGCGGCCATCACGCTGTGGGCAGAGGGAAGCCCCTTGGTCACGGCCGTGCTGGCCAGCCCGGTGGTCGCCCAGCTGCCAGCCAGGGAGGACGGGTTCTGGGCATGTGCCCACCGCCTGAGCCAGGCTCTGCGGGACGGCCGGGTCTTCCTGGGGGGTGGTGCCGTGGAGCTGCTGTGCCTCTGCCACCTGCAGGTGCTGGCCGGGACGTCCCCCGGGGAGGAGGGCCAGGCCTGCCCGCCCTGGCTGGCCTCCGCCCTGGCGCTCTACAGACCCACGGTGCTCCAGTGCCTGGCCCGGGGCTGGGACAGGTACCTGTGTGCCCTCTCGGTCAACAGCGCCACGCACGCCACGGAGCTGGACGCCAGCGCCTGCACCCAGGGCCGGGTGCGGCAGGCCCTGGCCTCGGGCTCGCCTGCCGCCTACATCGCCAGGATGTACGAGCAGCTGGGCTGCGGGGCTCTGGGCGTGGGCCGGGCCCTCAGAGTATATGACGTGATCACCCCCAAGCTGGAGGCGTGGCGCCGGGCACTGGACTTGGTGCTTCTGGTCCTCCAGACAGACTGCGAGGTTATCACTGGACTCGGACCCACCCAGATAAGTTCTCAGGACTCTAGAGACCTGTTGTTTTTATAGCGTCCGTGGCCATCTCTGGAGAGTGACCTGTGCTCCGTCCTGCCAATAAATGCCTTCAGCCAGGTCCCTGCGGGAGCCGGCTACTGCCCACCCAAGTCCCTGCCATCCATCTCTGGTGGAAGCTGGTACACACACACCTCCCTCCTTCACAGCCGGGCAGGAGCTTCTGGAGGGTACTTGGTACTAGGAGGAGGCACGGCAGCCAGAGGGGACCCCCTGCTTGGCACGGTCCTGCCTGGAAGGGTCTCGGGCAGGTACTTGGAACGTGGGGCTCATGGCTTGTGTGGAGTGTTTGCTCAGGAGATTTCGTCCCATGTGATCTGGTTCTCATGGCACAGCCAGAAAGCTCACAGGTACCGTCAGTGTCCACTTGGCCCTGGTGTCCTGCGTGTGCCCCAGAGACAGTCATCCAGTTTTAGCTCTGCTGACTAAATGATGATGGGCTGGAGCGATAGCACAGTGGGTAGGGCATTTGCCTTGCATGCAGCCAACATGGCCAACCCGAGTTCAATTCCCCCTCCCCTCTCGGAGAGCTTGGCAAGCTACTGAGAGTATCTCGCCCGCACAGCAAAGCCTGGCAAGCTACCTGTGACGTATTCAATATGCCAAACACAGTAACAACAAAGTCTCCAATGGACACGTTACTGGGCCTGCTCAAGCAAATTGATGAACAACGGGAGGACAGTGACAGTGACTAAATGATCGGGATTCAGATTCAGAGCCGAGCGGAGGGAGGACCCACAGGGAGCCTTTCCACCTCACTCTGATGTCACGGGCTGGGCGCGAAGGTCCTACCTGCAGGGCCTGGCCCAGCTGACAGACTCCCTGGAGCTAAGTCAGGACCCACAGCCCCGCCCACCCCGCATGCATCCAGACCGCTATGGGGGCCCCTGGGCCTTGCTCAGCAAAATCACATTGCTGTGTGCAGGTGTGGGCTGCCCCAGAGCTGACTGTGGGACCTAGCCAGGCCATCGGGGGCCCAGGGGGCAACCTTTGTGTACCGAGGGCTGAGTGTTGTCTGGGCCTGACCCATATGGGTGAAGAGGCACGTGCACTGCTGGCACTTACCAGTGTAGGGCCTCAGGCCTCCTAGGGGGCCTTCCCTAGGAGCGTGCAGAGGGGACGGCCCTGCGGGGGGAAGCACTGGACTTTCCTGCCGTGGCTGTGGGGGGCTGCGGGCTCCAGATATTGGCACACAGCCGCATCGGTGGGCAGAGGGTGTCAGCCAAGGAGCCCACCGCCCTTCCACGCGCCTGCCAGCTGTCTGCTGGGACCATGTTACGGCCTGTCGTGATCAGCTCTGGGGCCTTGCGGGTGGGTGTAAGGTGGTCAGCCTGCCCGTGGGAGCGCCCGAGGCCTCGGGTTGGAGCCCATCCTGCAAACAGGAGCCACGTGGCCAGCACTCCCAGGGCCAGCCCGAGACCCGTCACTCACACCTGCGACCAGAGCATCACGGTTCCCGCCCCACGGTTATCTCTGCTACCTGATTGGTTGTACATTACAGGTCATCAGCCGGAAGCCACCAATCCGCTTGTGGATGCAAATGCGGGTGTGGTTTGATTGTGGGATGACCAATCAGGTTGCACATGCCCTTGGCGGGGCTCCTCAGAGGCTCTCGTAGGCCCACATGTAAATGAGGTGTGGGAGGTGGCCAATCAGGTCGCAAGTGCGAATTTGGGGGTATGCCCATGGTCCTTCGGTCCTGTATCCCTCTCCTCCCTGGCACTGTTCGCTCGGCGCCTGCGCAGTGCCTCTGCTCAGCATCTTCCTCCCCCTGCCCCGCCGCTGTTCTTGGCCGCCACCCTACCTCCGGGACCCAGGAGCCTCCTGTGCGCTCGGGTGTCCTGGGCTAGCATCCCTTCTTGCCTCTGAAACCTCCAGCTCTGTTCGCATATCTAAGACCTGGGGTTTCCAGAAATGACTGCAATATTGGGAGTTTCTGGGAAGTGCCCACCTCCATCTGCAGCGCCTCTGACGCTTGGCGCGGGCTCCTGCAACTCCAGGAGGACCACGTCAGTAGCTGCCTGCTGCCTCTCCACCAACACTGGAGGCTCTGACATTCTTGTCCCCTCTCAGAAGCCGCTGACTCCCACAGCCACATCCTCTTCAGTCTGGGGCTGTGCTTGACAGGAGCACAAAGCCGTCCCCAAGTCCCTGTACCACATTCAGGTTGTCCTGGTCTGCCAGTCCAGAGAACAAGTCACTTTCTCCTCACTCTGCCTGTTTGAACACCTGCTCCCTCGACCAATGATCCTGTCAGCTCTTGTTTTCTAATGAAGCTCTTTGCTTCCATTTAAGGAAAATGAACCCGGATTTCCAAGGGCATCTCCCTTCTTGGCAGCTGAAGTCAATAGCGGGTTCCACAGAAGAGATGTCACCTAGAGAACTAAGACATCACCTGGGTCACTGATATCCTTTAGATGACCCCAGATAACTAGATGCAGCCCTGAGATAACTAGAACCTGAGATAATGATCACTCTGTGCAGTTTAACTTCTCTGAGATAACAGCACGCTGAGCTAGTAGCTACTCTGAGAAGTTAGAACCCATGGGGACAAGAGAGGCCCCAAGGTGATTGGGGTGCGGCTGAGAAGAGCTGAGGCCCTGAGGAGCTGCAGGGCTGGTCAGTCACGGCCTCTCCTTGCAGGAAACACAACTTGGAACCAGAGGCCACATCCCTGCCCCAAGCAATGCTTTCCACATCTGGACACTGATTTGTTTGGCTCTTTCCCTCTCCTTTAATGCCTCTGGGGCGTTTGGTAAATATTCAGCTCCCTTTTCATGCAGGGCTCAGCCCCTTTAATCCAACAGTTGAACGCACTGGGGCCTCCTGAAGACAAGGTTGTCTCTGCAGACAGTTTGTGATCCCGACCCCCTAGTGCCTGTCCTCCTTTCTCTGTGCTGCTTGGGCTTGGGCGAGGGGCCCGGGTCTCGGGCAGGGTGGGGTCACGGCCAGGCTGGGGCTCGGCAGCTGGGTGTGCACCCAGGCACACACACGGCAGTGCTGTCCTGGGGAGCCACAGGAAGCCAAGGGCAGCTCACGTGCTGACTTCCTTCCAAGCGAAGGGCCCAGGAGGAGGCAGCAAGGAGGTGGTCCCGGTGCACTTTCTGAGCTTGTCAGCTCGGACAAGGGAGCCCGCTGCTGTGGTCCAGGCAGCACTGGGCCATGTCCTGCCATGGTGTCCCCAGGCTTTCCTGGGTGGGGGAGCTGTTCCTGGCAGGAAGGGCGCTCCAGCTCAGCCTGCTTGAACTGCAGTGGTTCTCAGAGGCCCCCTGACTGCTGGTGGTCCAGGGAGGTGGAGTGAGTAGTCGCCGAGCACCGGAAATCACAGAACTCAAGTTTGCTGCCAGCACCTCCATCCCAGCTGACTCTTTGTTTCCTTATGTGAGGGGCCCAGCCCTTGAGTGGGTTCAGGATGAAAGCACGGCTGCTTCCGATGACCAGCGATGAGTTAAAGGCTTTCTCCACCCCAGGGGTCGCGGGAGGTCAGACCTGCATCAGGTCATGGCCGAGGAGCACAGTCATCGCTCTGGTGGAGGGACCATGAGCTGGCCGGGGGGCAGAGTGAAGGCCTGTGCAGACGGGGGGCCCAGCCCTGGTGCTGGGGTGTGGCCACCCTGTCCGCCGGCTCTGGGGGCCACCTAGGGCTGTGTGGCTGTGGCTGCCGGGCGTTTCCAGAGAAGGAGGATTGTAGTTTTGTGGGCGGGAGGACACTGGGGCCTGTCCCGTCCTCCAGGGCTGGGCAGAGGAGGGGTGCTGGCGAGCCCCGTGGGAGTGAAAGGGGAGCAGCTACCCTGCCCTCCCACATGTGGTGGAGCTGCCGTCCCTGCATCAATCCCAGGCGTGAGGACCCAGCAAGAAGGAGGGGCACCTGTCCTCCCTCGCTGGGCGTCCCAGTCTGCATCCCCCCCGGGCTGACTGTGCCGGACATGACCTGCCCACTTTGAGGACGGTGCCTTCCGGGGCTGGGCAGTGACTCGAGTGTCACACAGCATTGTCCCTGTGCATCTGCCAGGGGCCATCGGCACGTGACATTTTAATATTTTTATGGTTTGGGGAAAGGCCCCCCACTGTGCTCAGGGGCCACACCTGGTATGGTGCGGGGGATCGAGCCTGCTCTGCGACCCCTTCTCTCTCTCTCTCTCTCTCTCTCTCTCTCTCTCTCTCTCTCTCTCTCTCTCTCTGTCCTGGCCCATGGGCAGTCGGGCCTTTCACTTCCCTGTGGCTGTTACTTCCCACCTCGCTGTCCTCAGCCATCCAGCTCACACTGGACACTGACATGTAGAACTCGTGTGTGTCTGCAGGGGAGGAGGCGGGCGCAGCGCCTGGGGGAGGCCTGTTGTCTCACCAGCTGCTGTGGGCCACCAGGTGATGCCCAGAGCCCAGTGCTGAGCCAGGGGAAACTAGGAGGGCCTCCAGGACAGAAACTCAAGGCCCTGCAAAGTATTTCTGGGTGCCAGTTTGTTGGGAAGATCCCCGCATGTGGACACATGGGCATGAACTCTCGGGACCTGTGATGACGAGGCAGAAAGGGGGACATTCCCGACCCCTGCACACAGTGCAGATGAGCCAGCAGGCAAGGCTGGGAGCCGTGTGGAGCCAGGAGCGGTCAGGATGCGAGCCTGCCTGTGCCCACACTCAGGGCTGACTCCAGACACACACTTCGAGACCTGACAGCTCCTGAACGGGGGCGACCGCAAGTCAGGTACAGGGTCAGGCAGGGCAGGCTACAGCCCTGGGCAGTGGGGGCCGTGGGCACACGCCCACTGAGAACAGGGCAGTGTGTGGGTGGAAGGACCCACTTGCTGCCATAACAGCCCAGCCCGAGCTCACCTGCCAGCGCCCAGCCGGGCCCACCACCCGGATGGCCAGGAGATGTGGTGCTGGGGTGAAGCCGGGCTCCTGCCTGCAGACTGTGCTCGGCCCCAGTCCTCACCCCTGACCTTGACACAGGTGCTTTGTTTGAGCTGATTGGTTTGGGAGAACCTGGCTGGGAACTG